AACCAGTCCATCCTAAAGGAAATCAACTCTGAATATTCATTGGAAAGACTGATGCTGAAGCTGAAACTCCAATACTTTGGTCACCTGATGCAAAGAACTGACTCACTTGAAAAGACCCTGATGCTGTGAAAGATTGAGGGCAGGAGAAGAAGGGAATGACAGAGGATGAGATGGTTGGATGGCATCACCAATTCAATGGACATCAGTCTGAGCAAACTCCAGGAGATGATGGACAGGGAGGCCTGGCGAACTGCAGTCCACAGGGTTGCAGATAGTTGGAGGCAACAACAAGAAAGCAAAAGCCGGAAGACCTCTCGTGGCCTAGTCTCCAAAGTCACCCATGTCTCTATTACAATATTCTGTTGGCTAAAAGCAATCACAGTATCAGTCCAGATTCAAGGAGAAGAACTGTCCAAGGAGTTGAATATCAAAAAGCATAGTTCTTAGGAGAAGGAAAGTCTCTGGAGAACACGAGCCACACCAGCCTGTCCACTCCCCTCCTGCAGCACCCCTCCTATTGCAGTTTGCACTCTCACCACACTGGCTTCCCTCAGGTCCGGTACTCACCATCCTCTATCTTGCTAAAGGCTTTTGCACATACCTTTTTTTTTTTTTTTTGCTTAGAGTGTTCTTTTGATTCCCAGTTTGCCAAATTAACTACTGTGCAGCTTTCATACCTAAATTAAGTCTGAGGAAAGCCTTTCCTGACTTTCCTAACCAGGCTAAATCTTTCATGATATCTTCTATACTCCCAGGGCACAGGGTATATTTTTAGCACGGTCCTCTTCCCCACTGCACTCTATTTGTCTGAATGACTACGTAATTCTTGTCTCAGTTTCCCCCACTAACCTGGAAGAAGAGCCACGTCTGTTTTGCCTTTCTTACCACAGAGCCTGGCTAGTATTCCAGTATTTACTTTCTGAATAAATAATAAACAGAAATAAACTAAACAAATGAAATATCTCTGTATAACAAAGTACCCTTTTCCCTACAGAATTATAGTAAAGTAGATAACCACATTCCCATATTCAATGCATAAATAGACAACCCAAATATAAACCATTTTTTCACAGATGACGCCTCATGAATTTAGATGTCATATGCATTTGCCACATCCTACCTATAAAATTAGCAGATGAAAGCTAGTAAATATAGCTAAACAGAGTAAGTTTTGCGGTATTTTTCTAATCTCCTTTCAAATGAGGCTAAAACGCTTCAATTTTAATTTCTATGATTTAAAAAAAAGCAGAAAAGTATACCAAATGGAGAGGTGATTTCCTACTCTACACAGGAAGCCAGTACTGATAGCAAAGACCACTAGAAGCATTCCACTTAGAAACGCAGTGGGATTTGATACATAAATGAAACGAGACAGGAATGTGAACGGCCTCCCTCTATGTTATCAATAAAGAAGTGAAACTGTCAGTTGCTCAGTCATGTCTGACTTTTTGTGACCCCATGGACTGCAGCCTCCCAGCTCCTCTGTCCAGGGAATTCTCCTGGCAATAACACTGTAGTGAGTAGCCACTCCCTTCTCCAAAGTTCTTTATCAAAAAGTACATTTTATTTCTGGGCTTTTGAATCCCAAGCCTCTCAACTCTAATTCTTGTCAACTACTGAAAATATCTAGTCTAGGGAAAAACTGTTTCTTGCAATCTGAAATGATTCAATCATGTCTTTACTTATTCTTTCTCCACATGACAATGTGGATTCCATGAAGGCATGAATTTAGTTAGTTTTGTTTACCTAGAGCAATCTCTGGCACATTGTCCTGACCAATGAATTACTGAATGAGTGACTTGCACTGGTCTTCTAGAATCAGATCCTATGTATTACTCAAAATATTTATCAATATTCTTATTTGTTATTTATTAAGAAAAATATTTTGCCAAAAATGCAAAAAAAATGCCTTTTACTTATCATTTATGCTTCTTGCTTCCTGGGTATTATGCCATATGAACTCAGTGTCTCTAATTATCTAACCAGTCTCTATGACCAGTTAAGAAAAAAATTCTACAATAGGTGGAAAGAGCTTTTGGCTAAGTCCATTGTTAAGAACAAGACAAGAAGCCCAAATTGGAATCACTTATGCAGACCTGTGTTCAATCTCTGGGTCAGGAAGACCCCCTGGAGAAGGAAATGGCAACCCACTCTTGCCTGGAAAATCCCATGGTCAGAGGAGCCTGGTAGGTTACAGTCCATGGGGTCAAAAAGAGTCAGACATGACTGAGCGACTTCACACTCACCTTTCACCTTTCATGCTTCCCCCAGAAATGGAATGCTAACCTAATCAATCAGGAATCTCCTGATCAGCGCCAGTGAGACAAGCCGCCTGAGAGAGACCCGCCAGCCTCTAAAGAAAAATGACCTTGCCACGATCAATCCACTTTTTGCTAGTATAATTTCCTTGTCCCACTGCCTTTCGCCTATATTGGTCTTTAAGCTTTGTACTGATAGCTCCTTGGAGTTCCTTTCTATATGCTAGGTGGGATGCTGCCTGATTCATGAATCAATAAATGAAGCCAATAAGACTTTTAAAATTTACTCAGTTGAATTTTGTTTTATAACACATTGAATTTCTTTGTTTGTTAGAAGTTTTCTGGAATAAAACTTCATTTTCTTAGTGACGGAACTGGAATTTGTACCTAATTATTGTGTGATTTCAGAAGTCTTATCAGATTAAACAACTGCATGGCAAATGCTAAATAAGTCTACAAGCAGATCCATGAGTATGACCATTTTTGACACTTATGCAGACCTGTGTTCAATCTCTGGGTCAGGAAGACCCCCTGGAGAAGGAAATGGCAACCCACTCTTGCCTGGAAAATCCCATGGTCAGAGGAGCCTGGTAGGTTACAGTCCATGGGGTCAAAAAGAGTCAGACATGCCTGAGCGACTTCACACTCACCTTTCACCTTTCATGCTTCCCCCAGAAATGGAATGCTAACCTAATCAATCAGGAATCTCCTGATCAGTGAGACAACCCGCCTGAGAGAGACCTAAAGAAAAATGACCTTGCCACGATCAATCCACTTTTTGCTAGTATAATTTCCTTGTCCCACTACCTTTCGCCTATATTGGTCTTTAAGCTTTGTACTGATAGCTCCTTGGAGTTCCTTTCTATATGCTAGGCGGGATGCTGCCTGATTCATGAATCAATAAATGAAGCCAATAAGACTTTCAAAATTTACTCAGTTGAATTTTGCTTTATAACACATTGAATTTCTTTGTTTGTTAGAAGTTTTCTGGAATAAAACTTCATTTTCTTAGTGACGGAGCTGGAATTTGTACCTTATTGTGTGATTTCAGAAGTCTTATCAGATTAAACAACTGCATGGCAAATGCTAAATAAGTCTACAAGCAGATCCATGAGTATGACCATTTTTGTGGGATAATTTAGCTATTATTTGACTAAAAATTAAAAAAAAAATACCAGATAGAGGGCATGAAAATCTGTTATAAAACAGTTTCTTGAATCTAAACTCTGTCTCTCAATAATTTGTCAAATATTTTGTCTTAAAAAGGTGACTTGATAAGTTGAAACAGTCATTAATAAGTATTGAAACCAATTGGAGGCTATAAAATTTAGATAATAGTAAATATATTTACATTAAATTTGCCCGTTAAAGGAAATTCCCCCAAGTGGTCCTCTAACACAACTTTAATGCTGGCCAACAAACATGACTTGTGGGTTTTCAATATGTGAGTATCTGTACCATTTTGCACCTTATTTCTCAACTCATCAATCACACTGAATTATTGATGACTAAACATCTTTTTCCTTTGTGCTGCTTCTTGTTAGGTGTGGATTAAGATCTAGCTGCTGTTTTTTAAAGTTATAAAGTGCTCAACAGAAATTTTAAATGCTCGACAAGTTCAACCTGCTCCACAGATGCTCCAATTTCAGACTTGAACTTAGAAAAAGTTGTGTTACAAGAAACATGATCCAGTCACATTTTCAAAAGCATTAATGTGTGCCTCCTTAAACCACTCACATTTATCCAAAACAGAGATACACAACCTACATTTGCAACAGCCATATTTGACCAATCTTTTCACTAGTCTAGCCTTCTGTTTTTTCAGTCTAGCCTTCCATTTCCTATAACCCCTGACTCTGCTTTCCAGTTATCTTTAACTCCTGACTCTGCCTTATTTCTGCTATAGGCTTAGAACAAGGAGAGTTACTGGAATAATTGAATAGTTTGCTAAATAGATATCCCCTCATTTTCTTCAGATCCCACTGCCATCAAATTTCTTGATTCCACCTTGAGAAGAGAAATAAAGAGAAATATGCTATGTTATCCAGTCCATTTCAGTCTCAGATACGCACCAAAAATATTCCATCTTGCCTTCTATTCCTTTGCATTTACCACTCAAACTAACATACTCCTTACAAGCAGGAATAAGGGCAGAGGTTTCAGATGCATCAGTAACGTCCATTTCTTCTGGGAAGGCAACTCCCTGATTGAACGGAGTATGGTAGGAGATGCATATTTTTCAAACTAAGCCCTTTCAAGGACAGACGCCAAGGTTGAGCAGTACTCCGGCTTCTCGGCCACCCGAAAGGAACTGTGAATGACTACGGAAGATCTGCACCAGACCATCCAGATGCAGTTGAGGAGCTGCTGCGAAACAGCAAAGCCCAGCCTGGGAAATTCATGTCACATCCCGTACGTGGGTCAGAAGGGGCGAAATGCAGACCCACAGAGCAGGGATAAGACAGGCTGCAGACACATACATCCCTTATCGGTGGGGAAGAAGGGGCGAAACACACACAGACACACACACACCCCAAACTACACCCCGAGAAAGCCCTTGGGGCGGGGGGCTCCAGGGCAGGCAGCCTCCCACTTCCCCAGCCTCCGCCTCCGAAATCGCGGTCTATTGAACGTCCGAGGCTTCCCCCCTGTGAAGTGCAAAGGGCCACGCCGGCCTTACCTCGGGGGCTGCTGTCCTGGAGGTACGGGGGCGCCGTGGGAGTGACACTCCCCGAGTGGGACGCGGACAGCAGCGGCGAGCGCTCGTCCACGCCGTCAGCAGCCATGACTGCGGCAGAGGCGGCCGCGCAGGCCGAGTCCGCGGCCCTGGGAGGCGGTGTCGGCGGCGCGGCCGCTCGGAGGACCGGGCTGTGTCACACGGTAACACAGAGGAGCTAAGTGGGATGGAAGGGTCACCAAAATCACAGAGCAGCTAAGAGGGATGGAAGGGTCACCAAAATCACAGAGCAGCTAAGTGGGATGGAAGGGTCACCAAAACACAGAGGAGCTAAGTGGGATGGAAGGGTCACCAAAACCTCAGAGGAGCTAAGTGGGATGGAAGGGGTGCCAAAAGCACAGAGGAGCTAGGTGAATGGAAGGGTCACCGAAAGCACAGAGCAGCTAAGTGGGATGGAAGTGTTACCAAAAACACAGAGGCGCTAAGTGAGACGGAAGGGTTACCAAAACCTCAGAGGAGCTAAGTGGGATGGAAGGGTCACCAAAAGCACAGAGGAGCTAAGTGGGATGCAAGGGTTACAACGCTTTCCTTTTTTGTACTTGACATTTTCTTAGCTAAGGAGAAAGAAGGGGAAAGAGGAAGCGTGAAAGAGGATTAAAAGGCCTGTGGCTTGATGACAGGAAAACTACAGCCAACACAAATCCACGTTTAACTCCTCCAGCGCGGAAAGAGGAGTTCTTTGCTGTCAAACTTGCTGTGGTTACATGAAGAGAGCTTATTTAACCCTAAGAAAGCTTAGGGTTATGAATTCCTTCTCGAGGGCTGCTGCTTTTGTCGGGAAATCATTTTTCAACCTCTGTTGTCTAAGAGGAAGTAGATTTTTGGAGCATCAGTGCCACTCCCTGCTTTTCTTTGTTAATTTTTAAATATGTTTGGCGCGCTAGTAACAGTACCTTATGGAGACGATGCTAGTGTGTTGACTTTTACAAGTTTCATTTTACAAAATGGATTGTCATGTTAGTTTTGTTTTTGTACTGTGTAGTCTCTGACACACATATGATAATAAGTTTATGAATAATGCAAGACAAAACTGTTTTCTTTAGCTAATGGTTTAAAATAATCTTTCACATGTACAAGAGAACATAAAAAACAAGCTAGGTCACAGTTCTCATTTTGATTTTTATCTTTTTCTTTTCTTTTTTCAGTGGCTTACTAGAATGGTTTTAAAATCAAAGTTTTGACCATGCCCAGATTAAAAAAAAAATGCAATGGGGAAATAGTCATTGTCTCAAACCAATAATTTTTCTGCAACAGTTCTGAGTCATTCATCACATATTTATCATGTGATCACTGGTCTGCAAAGATGAGTAGGGCATGGCCTTGGTCTTCAAGATGCCCATGAGGCAGCAGAGTCAAAAACAAATGAAAAATGAGGCTGGTAGTCTTTAAATGGGCTGTGACTTTAAAGGAGCAAGGGGGAAAGCGAACTGTAGACATTTGAAACTACCTCTTATATTACATGCCCTCTAAAGATGTTCTTTATTCTGAAAAATCCATTTAGGCGTCAGCCAGAAATTCTAAGGGAAAATCAAAGTATAGTATTTTCTATTATGCAACATCTTTCGTGGGTCAGTAGTATCAGAATACAATAACATATAAGGATTCCTATAGGATATAATCAAAGGTCATTTATACATCTCCAAAACCTGGAATATGAGGGCTCAAGATATAGCACTCCCTGCAAAAGTGAACAATTAACAAAAGAAACAGCACTGTTTTTACACTTGCAGCCTAGAAGCTATGGAGATAAAGAAAACTTTAAGACAAATCAACAAAATCCTATTTCTATAAAGTCGGTCCTCCATATACATGGGTTTCCACATCCAGAGATTCAACCACAGTTCAAAAGTTTTTGAAAAAAAGATTTCAGAAAATTGCAAAAAGCAAAATGTAAATTTGTCAGGTTTAGGCAACTGTTTGCATATCATCTACACTGTGTTTACAAATATTTACATATTATTTACATTGTATCAATATTAGGTATACTGCAAGCAATCTAGAGATGATTTAAAGTACATGGGAAGATGTGCACAGGTCACATGCAATACTGTGTAATACTGTGCCATTTTATGTAAGGGACTTGCACATCCAAAGATTTTGGTATACTTTAGGGTTGGGATGGGATGGTCTGGAACCAATCCCCCAGGGACAGAGAAGGACAAGGGGCGGCTGTAGTGTCTTATCCTGTCACCTGTCACACTTTATTGTAATACTGTGTTTACATTTTCATGACCCACTCACGTTTTACCCCCAGCTGACTTTGTGAGATCAGAAACCAACTCTATCTCATTCACTATTAATCTCCAGTATCTAATACAAGGCACAGCACATTAATAAGCACTCAGTAAATGCTTGCCAAATAAATAACAAGTGAGTGTATGAACAAATCCTTCACAGTCCCAGAATCTTACTAAAATAAATCATTAACAGGAAAAAAGTTAAGAGTATTTCATGACATTTTGATATCAGAAGACGAGAGTTTTGCCATTTGACTAAGTTATTGTTCAGTTTTGTCTTTACAACTAGAGTTCCTTTATTGCCCAAGTATAATGATCAGTATCAATTTTTTTTCATTCTTTATTTCTTTATGTGATTTCTCTGTTCATTTCAGAATTCATTTGAGGAAGATACAGTTAATGGGTATATTGAGATTATATTTGCCACAAAGTCAAATTTTACCAAAAGTAAAAAAGACTTTTTTTAGATGAGTATCACTTCATTCTAGTTTAAAGATAATATTATAGTTTATGGTTACTCAGTAAATGTTATTTGGTGGTGGTTTAGTTGCTAAGTCGTGTCTGACTCTGGCAGCCTGGTGGACAGAGGAGCCTGGCAGGCTACAGTCCGTGGGATTCTCCAGGCCAGAATACTGGAGTGGGTTGCCATTTCCTTCTCTAGGGGATTTTCCCAACCTAGGGATTGAACCTAGGTCTCCTGCACTGGAGGCGGATTCTTTACCAACTGAGCTGCCCAAAATACTGAAGAGAAGCCCAAAATACTGATCAATCTAAAGCATTTTATGATTATGATGTTTTGCCATCACTATTTACTTTCACTTTGGAATAACAGCATGGTATAAGCAGATATGTATGTACTAACAGTATGGTATAAGCATCTTTGTGCATCTTGTCATCTAAATCAAGTCCAGGTTTAGACAAAGTTCTTTGAATATGATTTTGCAGATTCAGCTCCTTGGGTGCAGCACCCGTTTAATCAGAGAGCCATGAACTGAAAGAAGACAAATGATATGCCTTCCTCGTCTCCGTCTGCCCCAGTCTCCAACATTTAATAGTGAAACTGAAGAGGATGACAGCCATAAACACGCCCATTTCATCAGGGGAGGGGAGGGAGATGACTTGCATTTAGAATGGAAAAAGCATAACATACGCTGAGCCACAGAATTCTGAAATCCAGTTGAGCATGTGTCACTAGCCACCTTCCACTGGAGCCAGGGAACGCTCCTTTATTAGGGGTGATTCTGCTCCCGGCCCCCCCGCGCCTCTCATCTCTTACTCTCCTTGCCTCTTTGCTCTGCCACTGGGTTCTTTCTTGTCCACAAGGTATGGCTCTCTTCGAAGCCGAGTAGCTTCTCAGCCTGCCTCCTAACACTGGAGGCCCAGAGGCCTCTTTAAAGCTGTGAACTGTCTGTTTTCCTTTTAATCCAAGTTGATAAACTCCATTAAAAACTTTACAGGCTTCTTATAAATCTGACTAGGGTTTACTTCCTACTCCCACAGCCACAGACATAATTCTTTGTGGAAGTGAAGGTAGGCCAGATTTGAGACCCTTTGGATTTGCAGAAATTCCTTTTCTTAGCTAAGGAAGTCTTCAGGTCACTGCTTGAATCTTTCCCATGCCTTAACAAGGGATTTTATAGCCATCCCTTGGATTAAAATTTTATCCTGAGGCCATTTCTTATTAAAAATCTCTTACCAGACTTTTCTGAGCCCTCTGCTTTTCCTCTAAATACTGTTGTAAACTCCAAGGTATTTTTTTTGTTCATCTCTGTGATAGGCAAAACAATGACCCCTCAAAAGATGTCTACGACCTAGAACCTGGGAAACCTTACATGGCAAAAGAGATTTAGCACATGTGATTATGGAATGCAGATCTTACCATAGGGAGGCTATCCTGGATTATCCAGGTGGGCCAGTGAGTCTTTAAAAGCTGAGAAACTTCCTGGTCATAGTTAGCAGTATTCACAGAAGAAGAAGGAGGAGAGATTAGAAGTGTGAGAAGGATACAGCCTACCGCTGCTGACTTTGCGGGTGGAGGTAGAGTGTGGGTGGCCTTTAGAGCTAAGAGTGACTCTCAGCTGACAAGCAGCAAGGACGTGGGGATTCCAGTCCCACAGCCGCAAAGAAGTCGATTCTATAAACAACTTTAATGAGCAAAGAAGTCGTGAGCAAAGAGGAGCAAAAAGCATCACTCATCACCCACCTCTGCAAGGGTTAAGCTGAAACCCACTGCAGTCTCTCCTGAGAGGAATCCAAAATGAAAAGCAGGATGAGGCGCTCTGTGCTTTGGATAAACAGGCCCCTAGAAAGACACACATCTAGGAAGAATTTCAATGACCCCAGGTTCTTGCATCTTCCATATATAGAAAAGCACTAAAATCATTAACCTGAGATGTCTGTTCTTTGTGATTAGCAATAATCTTTTACCAAGATTTAAGCTTGACTGTTTGTATTTCCTAGTCCCTCCTCCCCACCCCACCCCCCCAAAAAATACATATTCTGGCTCCTCCTCTACCTCTTTGGAGCACTTCCTCAAAGCTGTCTCCCAGGCTAGAATCCTCAGTAAGACTCTGAATAAAACTTAAACTCACAACCCTTTATGTCCTGTGTTTTTTCCAAGGTGACATATAGAGCTTCCCCTAGAACTTGTAGGTAGAACACAGCCCTGCTAATCCCTTGACTCTGGTCCAGGGAGAAGTACTGAACTTCTGACCTACAGAACTATTAAGTTAAAGCAAAATAGAAACCAGGCTTGAAAATCCCACAAGCAGACAAAAGTCATTTAAGTTCCATAAGCAAGATAAATCTAGCTTATTTCATGGACAAAAGTAAAAATCAATTTAGGGTTTTTCTTATAAGTGACTTATAATC